ACTACTGGGTTTAATTAGAGCCTTCATCATCCGTGGAATCGACTCCACAGGAGCTTCAGGGGTATCCACGGATATTCGCCTCCAAATTCCTTGAAATGCATGGAACTTCTCGCTCGTGTTGGTGGTCTTCTTTCATTTATCTCATGCTTCAAGTCATCTCAAAGATGCCTGATGGGGTTGAGGTGAAGGCTTTTACTCGGTCATTTTGTCATCCTGATGCTGACCTTGGGTGCCGGAACCTAGATCTCACGTACTTTTGTGTTTGCTTAGGGTCGTTTTTACTGATTTGAAAACAGTTCTTCTAGGCATACTTCATCTATATCCACGGTGTTACGGTACACAAGTCAAGGAAAAAAATTTGATAGAAAATTCCGATTTTTTGGCTCGTTCCAAGTTTTTTTTTCGCAGCTGTATACATCGTTCCATGATCGGCTCGGTATGTCGGCGTGTAGGTCTGTCAATCCATATCGAGGGGCTGAAGAATTACAAGCAGCCAAACCGAGTGAAAGGTTTATAACACTGATTCTGCAACCAATAATCATTTTCTGTGGTTTGTCCAGAGCAGAAGATGCAGTGCAGAGATACGGTGGAGATGGTAGTTACGGTCAGTGCGAATAACATTAATGCGAGTCGCACTATACGACCTCTCAGTATTGCTCGTTTGAACCCGACAGTGATTCGACATCTTCAGAATTTGCAATAAAAAGGCAGTCTATCTGTTACAGATTTTTAGACAAGGTTGTGATGTGAACGTAGAGTGCCACAAATGCCGTTAAGGCAGCGTTCAGACTTCGCGAAGGCAGCTCTTCAGTCGCGCGTTCGACGCGATCGATGCGCAGTCTTGACGTATCGAAAAAACGCGCGATCGAAGGCGCTGCCGTCGCAGTCGAAACGCGCTAAGTGCCAACTGCCATGATACGGCGCTCAGCCGAGGTCGAGCATTTAGCTAGCAGTACGGTTGGACTAGGTCCAAGGCTGCCACTGCGGACCTAATGAACGAGTACCAATTTTCTGAGAGATTGCTTACATAGTGCAAGGTAGATGAAATTGTTGACATTAGACGTTACTCCACGATTCAGGATCATGGAACTTGTTGTCTAGCATCTGGGCTGTGTACAGTGCATTCGAATCGTATTTACAAGGCTGCAGAAAGTTTTGTGAAAGTCGTAGAGCAGATGTTCGAGTCAGAGGTAAGTTTTTGTCCCTCAAAAGCATTGTTCACAGTCTGCGACCCTAATCAATTGGAGAACATGCGAAAAGAAATGAATGCGTATCGGCTGAGAGAATCTTCGATAGCTCTGGCTCAAACGCGAAAAGAGCTAGATATGTATATATTCGTTGAAGTGAAGAATTGGATTCTTATTGATCGAGAGCACCGGCAAGCAGTCGCCTCGCCGGTACTCTCGCTCGATACGTATCTTACTCAATTCCCGCTGGATTCCCCGGTTGGGTCGGGTCCACGGATCCTCTCCATCGATACGTATCAAAACCGTTTCTTTCGCACAGTCTGCAGGGGCACAGACTTTCGAGGGAGGCCTAAACTGCCTTCCTGCAGGTCATTTAACTGAATTGTTCTTTCTCAGATCCTCACAGCCACATTTGCCAAAATGAGCTTCATGAGCAATGTATCAAGTGAAGAGGTGCCGAAAAGGATTTCGAAGGCTGCAGCTGTTGCCAATGGCGGCAAATCTGGTATGCATTTACACAACGATTATAAGTTCAGGACAAAAGGCGTATACAGTACTCTCGGAAATTGCACGTGAAATTAGATGTACGATCCCCGTGAATGCACCCACTTATTAGGCCGGTTTATTAGCCTACATTATTCGCCTTTTGCACAACCTGGTTGCAGGGCACGCCATGGCGTTGTGTTAAATTCCTGCAAAATAAGATTCCCTCTCCCCCTAATTCCATCTTCCGGTACGACCCACTCCCTCCCATCCTACCACTTTCCTGGATAAGATGTGGCCAACGTCCGACCGCAGTATGTCGGCACGAGTCCTGGTAAGTCGCTAGTTTCCTCAAAATTTTGCTGTCGAGGGGGGGGGTGGGAAGTTCGTCAGGAACTAACTTCTGTTTTCAGTTAACACCAGTGAAACGGGAAAAACGCAAAAAGTCAACAGTCGAGAAAAGTTTTCCACAACAACGGCAAACTTCATGCTCGTGCACAAAACCCCACTCTTCTCGGCGTCATCAAACCAGACCCCCATGCCCGTGATGACACAGCTGGCGTGCCCTCCTGTGAGGTCGCTTCTGCTGGGTAGGGCTGCCAGGCGGGATGAGTGTGTTGGTGGATGTTTGTGCACTCGCGGCGGCCACCTCCATTCACAACGGCAGCTGTGGTGTGGTGTACGAACTGTCTACTTTCCGATGTCATGATGGCATATCACTGCTCGTAGTCACCTGTACCAATCACCACTCGTTTTCAGCACGTAAAACTGTAGCAGCACAAAGAAGGCTGCCCCAGTCACAAACGAATCAGCAGCAGCAGCAACAACAACAGCAACAACAACAACAACAGCAGCAACAGCAACAACAACAGCAGCAGCAACAACAACAACAACAACAACAACAGCGTCCTGCTTCACCTCCTTCAGAGCCACCATCTGAATTCGCGGTATCTCTGTCAGAAGCCGATGATGAAGAAAGTATTGATGATTTTGAAGAGGTACTGTAGAGTTCCTTTTCTTTCACAGGTTCTTTTCTCAGCAAGTTTTCCAACCCTTATATAGTTGCAGCTCCATAGCGCATCCCTATCAGGAGAAGATGTTGAACAACAGATGCGAGAGCTGTTGAACGAAATTAGTCATTGCCGCGTACATGACCTGGTAATATATTTGGCAATGTTCTAGTGCTACTGCTTCACATTTTTTTTACGATTTTTTAACCATATTTTAGATTCTGGACAAGATCGAATCTATGGAGAAGGAGCCTAATAACAGCTCGATAGGTCTGCGCGCATTGCTCGTGCAACTCTTCAACTATTCGCAGACACTATCAGTAAGTGGCTTGACCCATATGGGATTCTTCTACAGTTTTGTTCGTGCTGACGGGGCATGTCAGCGGAGTGTGTTTGGCACGGCGCCAACGCGGTCCCCATTAATTGTGGAAGCTGACTGGTGACCACAATTGGGGAGAACTGGCTGACTCCGCGTCAAACCCT